GGAATGCTGGAAGTGGTAGGTGATAAATGGGCTGAAAGCTACTGATAATTTTTCTAACCAGTGTTAGAGATCTTCACTCCTGTCCTCTCTGTGGAAGGATGGTATAGACACAAAAAGTCACCATGACCCGTTAAGAATGTGCACATAGAATTCACAATCACTGACTCCCATGGTGTGGGCAGTGAAAAGCTTCTGCCAGAACATGGTTGGTCATGGCTAATTTACACTTCTGCCACCTCACTCCTGTGCAGTTCCCACCTGCTGCAAGTGTAAGGGAAGTTCTTGGTCCCTTTTGGCCCTGGGGTTGCCCTTCCCAGCTGCATACTGCACAGCACCCTCAGCCTGCCACCGTGCACCGTCAGTTTTTCAGGAGCTAACTGGATAAACTGTACTCTAGAGCCCATTGAACTTGCCTGTAACAGTGCTTAATTAAAGTGCAGAAAGTTTGAAGAGATAGGAAGTTAAGGCTTAATGCAATAACGAAATGGCACTATTCCACCATCTGCTTCTTTCAAGATGCTAATTGCTTCCTCATATTTGTTTGTTTTAATTAGGAAAGAACCTTGATTAAAATGGAATGAGGAGGGATAAGGGTAGAGGAATGGAAGGCAGGGAGGAGAGGAAAAGGAGAGTACAGGAGAGGGAGAAAGGAATGGAAGATGAAGGTTTGACCATGCTGCTGAGCACTGGTCAGCAGCTCTAGACCAACCAACTAGGAATAAGTATTTTGGCATTCGTGGATACAGCTTGGACAAGCAGCATAGTGTCGCTGAGAAAGTCATACAAGATGAAGGGAACAAATGAAAAAAGCAAAAACATTTTTCATGGAGCAATCTTTGTTTTAACTGCTTCTTGCCCACTTCTGCTGAATCTTCTTGATTGTGCGCCGTGACTGCAGCGCTTTGCTTTTTCAGTCTTGAGTAATAACCCACATGGAAGAAAAGGTAAACAGACTTTCCCTATGTTCACGTCTTTCCTCTCCCTTGAACTACCATCCGTCTGCATTAAATTTATCTTGGAAAGACTTCAGTTTTATTAGCAGCTCCAGGTAAAAGAATTTTCAAGTGATTGATAACCATGTCTGCTTTAAGAATAATGTCAGCAATTTTCTGAATAGATGACCAATAAAAGAAAACTTAAAAAGGAATTAAAAACCACACTGCCCCATATTCTTAAGTAGTGGCTTTGGCCAAAAGTTCAGGGATAGGAGCTTGGAAACTTTTAATTGGATTCATCTAACTCCCCTTTGTCTCTCCTTTTTCTGTTTCTTTCTCCATGCCTTTTTTCCCCTCTCTTCTCTTTCCCCTTTTTAACCCTCTTGAGAGTGAAGTCTGATTTCTCAAGTAGGTATAAATGTAATTAAAGTCAAACACAGCTCTTAAAAAAGGGAAGCAACTAATTTCTTTTCTGGACCATTGGTGGTGTGGGCAGATCTTGATAATGGAAAAGCACCAACCTGGGAGCATGAAATGGGGATACTGGAGTCACTGAAATAATAAAATGCTTAATAGCATGATGAGTAAAAATGCTTGTTTTATAGGAGACTATAAGCCTTGTGTTATTCTGGTTTTACCTCTTCTTCCCCTCCCTGCTGACAGAGGCTGTAGTTTTGACATACCCAAATCTAGTGTCTCAGGGTTTCTCACTCTTTCCTTTGTATGCCACTTAGGAATTTTTTTTTTAATACTGTTCCCTAGTGGGCAGTAATTCCATTCCCCTGTGGCAAACTGAAGAAGTCTTGTGGTCAGAGAAAAATCTTAAATTTACTTAATCTCTTACCTAAAAATGGAAAAAAAAAAAAACAACAAGATCCCCAAACCAAACCTCTAACATGATCAACCGTTAATGGATTGATGTTTGCTTTGATAGTTGTGCAAAATGTATATGCTTTACATTACAGGCACATCCCCTTAGCTTAGCTCCCACCTGTAGCACTGGCTACTTCGTTATTTGCTATTCTTAAATTTAATCAGTATGACCACTGCTTTGTAGCAGACTAGTGTGTATGTATATAAACAATCATTAATCAATATGTATGGACAAATATTTTGTGTCTGGGAAGTTTAGTACATGGATGTACTGTGATCTGTGGATCTCTGGTTGAAAATCAAATGCTTTAATTTTGTCCTTTAAATATAAAGTAATTGTCCCCTTGGGGCAGGATAGAAGACTCACTGGACCAATTCTAATCACATTGCTTAGTGTTGCGCATTTGAATACCTCTGATACACAAGCTATAAAAGAACCAAAGGAGAATTCAGGTTAGTAGGGACCACAGACTGAGTGGTGTGCTGCAATACCTTTGGGTTTCTGGGAAATGGCAGAATCACCATCCCTCAAAGTGTTCTGAAAGCGTGTAGATACGGCCCTCAGTGACATGGTTTAGCGGTAGCCTTTGCAGTCCTGGGGTAAAGGTTGGACTTCATGATCTTAAAGGATTTTTCCCACCTAGCTGGTTCCATGATTCTATTCTAGTCTTTGGATATCTCCTGTTGCTAAATTAATTTGGTTTCTTTTTGTATTATAAACCCCATCAGGATCCGAACTCAGTATGATACGCTTAGCTTCATGCAGTTCTGGTCATCCCACCTAGTAGATACATAGAAAAAGTTCACCAAACCCTCAGTGGTATCTCTGGGAAGAGATGTGGAGGGACTGGGATTCCTCAGATTGTGAGAAGTTGACTGGGACTCCTCAGGTTGTGAGAAGCGGGCTGGGACAGGGAGTGCTGTAAAAGCCACAGTGGAACAGAGAAGGGGTATGTGGCCTCCAGTTCCTAGATTACAGCCAAGGCTGAAGTAGAGAGGAGAGGGTTGGCTTTACTGGGCCCCTCAGTTCAAGAAGGACAGGGAGCTGCTGGAGAGAGTCCAGCGCAGGGCAACGAAGATGATTAAGGGAGTGGAGCATCTCCCTTATGAGGAAAGACTGAGGGAGCTGGGTCTCTATAGTTTAGAGAAGAGGAGACTGAGGGGTGACCTTATAAGTGTCTATAAATATATAAAGGGGGAGTGTCACGAGGATGGAGCCAGGCTCTACTCGGTGGCAAACAATGATAGGACAAGGGGTAATGGGTACAAACTGGAACACAAGAGGTTCCACTTAAACTTGAGAAGAAACTTCTTCTCAGTGAGGGTGACGGAACACTGGAACAGGCTGCCCAGGGAGGTTGTGGAGTCTCCTTCCCTGGAGACATTCAAAACCCGCCTGGACACATTCCTGTGTAACCTTATCTAGGTGTTCCTGCTCCGGCAGGGGGATTGGACTAGATGATCTTTCGAGGTCCCTTCCAATCTCTAGCATACTGTGATACTGTGATACTAAAAGTGTGTGAATGTGTGCTTAGATGTTGAAAAGCAGGACATAAAATGGCTGAACAGGAGGCAGAATTCCAGTCTGGCAGTGGACAGTATGAGATGGCACTGGAGCAAGAATCTGGTGAGGGAGAAAGGAGGGAGCAAACACCAGCCCCTCTTAGTACAAAATTGCTGCAGTAAAGACACAGCTGCTTTCAATGTGCAGAGTGTGAAAGTACTGAAAGAGGAGGTGCACTGGCTGGGGTGGCAGGGGGCATCAGTATCTAGCTGGTGTCTTGAAAAAACTTTCAACAGGAGATTTTTTTTCAGCTTGGTGTTACAGAGACTGTTGGGGATGAACATCTGGAGTGGAAGATGTCCCTGTGGGTTTTGGGATTCTTAGCTTTAATGGGTGTGAAGATTAACAGAAATTTGCTCTTGAAGTCTGTGAAATCAGTTGAATCAGTGTGGTGGGTCTGTGTGTCTTCCCCCTGATCTCCCCCCAGCAGGGATGCTTAAATCTTTTTTTTGACCTTATTGCTATTACCTACCTAAGCAGCAAATATTCTGCTAAGCACCAATATAGCCTTCCTACTCTGCTCAGTCATGCACTCATGCCTCTATGGTACTGTTACCTCAGACTTTATTTTAATTATCATAAAACAGCCTGGGGTTCTGTGGTTTAAAATTAACTAGTTGTGTGGTGAATGGCAGGTGTAGTTTGGTACAGTTTCAATCTTAATCTTTCCCACTAGTCAGAAAAAGCTATTGGGAATGGATATTTTAGGAGGTATATTTTGAATGTCTCTAATTCTGCTGCCATGGACAAGCAGTGTGTGTCATAGTGAAGCTGTATAGGATTCTCTTGGGAGACATCTGACAGAGAGCCAACAGTGAGCTGTAGTCCAAGACAACAGACTGGCTTGGTGCTGCAGAGTAACTGTATACTTTTATTGACATGTATTTTTTAACAGGTGACTACTTCTAGCCTGTATTTGTGAGGTAATCAGAAGACCACAGTAGGCTGATGGGTTTTACTTATCCATTCCTCTTTTCATTTAATTCTTTACAAAATCCTACCTTAGGGATTCTGTAAAACCAGTTTAAAGTGATGTACATCTTCCCTTTCCTATACATTGTGGACACAGCTTTACTTTTTGCAGCAGTACACATTGCACTTGTATGAAAACCAGCCGCTTTGAAAGCAGCTTTTCATTTCTCTAAAAGACCAATGTTTGCAGTGAAACAGCAAAATCTGTGTATTTTCTTATAAGGCTAACTTAAATATAAAGGTATGTGCTTTTTAGCTTTTCCCCCTTTATTTAGATCTTAATTAAATGTGTAGAGGCATTTTCTCCTGTCAGATGCATGTCCGTTTAACTTCCCTTTATTTTTTACTTTTGAAAGAAGAAGTAATTTTTTTTCTTCCAGAAAAGTGGAGGAACGTTGGTCTCTAAAGCAAGCTTAAATAGTTGTTTTTACTTAGCTGATCCTTAGTGCTAGGCAGTACTGCATAAAAGCCGTCTGACTTTACACCTTTCTCTTTGTCCTGATTTAACATGGTGTAAAATCACCCTACCTCTGAGTCTTTTAGGCGTTTTAGATGATCACTGGTGAAAAATGAAGGTAAATGTACCTATTTTTTTCCTCACGTGATTGACTGCCTTTTCTCTGAGCCCTAAAGAGAAGTTCTCCCTTTGTGGGGTTTAGGGAAAACAGAAAGGTTGCAAATCTCCTGACAGAACAGTGCATAGACTGCAGGCCGTGATTCCTATTTAAAACAGAGTGTCCGATGTACAGATTCACTTGATTTGTATTTAAATGGGGAAGGTGAGTGCCCTGGTTTCCCACATTGTGTCACAGGAGGGAGGTATCATATGGCCAGGCTTGGCAGTCCTGGGAGATGCAGACCATGTCAGCTCCGCTCGGGGGACCTGCTGTGCTGGTGGAATGAGAGGGCTGCTTGAGGTGGGTCAGGAGTTGGGGCAGATGAAGGCTTTTCCTCTCCCTGCCATTGCCCTGCCTTTCTCCCTGCCTCCTGAGTAAACCTGCACTTCTTTGGGGCTCAGCCATCAGGAGTAACAAAAGAAAATCTACTGTCTTTTATAGGTGCATCTTGCCTTGCTTAATTTGAAAGGGGACTATTAATGTCATAAAGGAAAATAGGTTGCTCTTACCTTTGCTTGTTTTTCAAGTGGGTCCAGCACTTTACAATCACTAATTAAGCTTTACAATATGGCTGCTGTGGTCTTAACTATATTCCCTGACAGAGCACTTTGCCTAAGGTCACGCAAACAGGTCATGAGCCTTCCTCTTTTGACCGCAGTGCATGTACCCTGGCTGCTAAGAGTATGAATCTTACTGCATGAGGAACGACCAAACAGCACAATATCGGCAGCTGATAACTAGGTAACATAGATAAAATGAGTTAAATTAGTGTGTGATGAAGTTACATAGGGGAGAAGTTTGGCCTAGAATCTGGCAGCTGGCAGGTTGCAGGAACCATCTGTTGCCTGTGGTACCAAGTAATGATTTCTGTAGTTACTTCTAAATCTCAGTTACTTAACACAGTTTGGAAACAGAAGTTCTGCCAGGTTATTACAAGCACTTCAGGTATCTTTTAAGTGTTGATTAGAAAAGCTTTTCCCTCTGTTTCTCCCAGACTTATTTTTGTACTCACGACAGGTGTGGGGTGGGAGACTGGGGTGCTCAGTCTACCCAGGAATGAGTGCTCTCACTAGTGATTTTTTTTTTTTTTCAACCCATATGTTTTAGCTGTACCCTAGGCAGAGTGTCTCCTTAGACAGGGAGAGGAGTTTTACATGTTCCTTTGTTGTTTGCCTTACTGGTGGACGGTAGAAGTATCATTGTTGCTCCGACAGAGGAAGTTTGTGGTGTTTAATTCAGAAACTGGGGCTAATCCTGCATCTTTTCTCATTGGCTTCCAGTGTGCTACCAGCTAGCAAAAGCTTTATGTGGGAGAAAGAGATGAAAACTGGTGCCAAAGAATAGTGAGAGCCATCACTGCCTTATCACCTATCTCTGGAGCTATGCGTAACTCCCCAGCCAGACGCTAAGCTGAGCTCAGGGCCTGGTATGAAGGGGAAAAAGTGGGGCTGTTAGCAAGAACTGCTCATAATGTTTTTGTTAAAATAATGGCTTTTCAGACTGTGAAAACAATGTTAGCAGAAAGGATGTATTATTCAAACTGTTCAGATTCTTTTGTTGAAAGGGAGGGAAATATGTTTAAAATTGATTTGAAATGAAAAGTTATGCAATTGCTAGGAATGAAGCTATTTATATAGCAGTCTGTTTTCCCACTTTTCCTATTCTATGCTCCTTTCCCAGAAGAAATAAAAAGAAACAACAAATAATGACTGGAAGTTACTATAATGAAAGCCAGGTAAATTAAAATGTTTCATTTCTAAATCCAGAAAATTCAATGTAAGTGCTGCGATATAATAAATGTTTCTTTGTTTTCCCTAGGGCTTTCATAGCAAACAGTTGTTCTTTGTCAGCTGTATTGCTGACTGTATGGAGATTTGTATGTAGTATGGAAAAGCACAGAATATGTCCCGTGCAGGTACTGTGAAGATATTCCCTGACCCACTATTGCACCTGTACCCTGAGAGATTCTGTCCTGAGGAGCCACGGGAATTCAAGTCTTCTCCTCACTCTCTCTTTTTCTTTTCTTTTCTCTTCTTTTTTTTTTTTTTTTTCCCTATTTTTAAAATATGTGAGTTTGAATCCTGACTTGAGCAGGTTGAGTTGGGATTTTGAATTCGCAGCCCAGTCACTCAGAATGTCAATTGTCTTCCAGGGCACTGCACTGTGAGTCCCAAGGCTGGAAGCTCTTTAAAAGACCATTTGACTTTTAAAGGAGCACTCACAGGATAATATGTATCTTTTAGCTCTTTCTAAATCTACCAAGTGCGATTGATTTATCAATATGTAGCAACTAATGCTTAAATAAAGGGACATGTCTTCACCAGTGGTGTTGAAATGCTTCGTTAGAAAATTTGAAATAATTTCTAAAGGCATTAACTTCCATAATATTGCTAGTTAGCTGTTCCCCACTCCCTTGGCTCACAATGAGGTACTAAGCTACCTGACAGGCTTTGCTTAAATCTGTGGCCCTGGCACGCTGCTGTCTAGTTTGGGGTTTTCAGAAATGAAATTTAATACAGGGTTTGAATAGAAGAGTGCTGGTGCAGTGTCTCCTGTCTGTTTCTCAGATGGTGATGGGTTATTCCCTGCCGTACTGTTTCCCAGTGTTTTTATCCAGCTTCATTTTAAAATGAATCAGGCAATTGTGCTATCCCCCCCACCTTCCTGCAGTGTTCTGGGTTCAATCCCAAGTGCTTCTGACAGCTCAGGATGCGTTCTCTGGACTTCCTGTTTTAGCTAAATTCTGTGGTTTTGTCTCCCCATGTGTACAATGGTTCCTCTTATGCTTTGGTGCATGTACTATGTCCCTGCCTTTTTGACTGTGATTTACTTACTCCAGTAAATGTCATTACCTCATCATTAGGTGGTCCATTGAAATAAACAGATGAATCCTTTATACTTGAATTTTGTCAAAATCTTTTTGTTTTACACATATTAATGTTTCTGGGGGTTTTTCTACATTTCACAGTAGCAGATCTCCTGAGGAAAAGGCATAACTAGAGAGAAGACTCATAGAGCAAAATAGTAAAGCACAGAAATGCAATCCAGGAAGATGTACATGAACTAAAAGAACAGTAATGAAACCCCTGTCCTCTCTGTAGCTCTTCCCAGTCATTGGGCTCTTGGGCTCATAGGGGTCTTAAATGTAAATTTGTCTGATCCACACTCTTCCTTTCAAAAGAGATTCTACCATAAGAACTGTATTTCTGCTTTGAGGGTCCCTAGGGCTTGGAGCCTAGGTAGCTTTTACCAGAACTGTCTCAGTCCTTGGTTGTGAGGCCACTGCTGCAGCAGAGCGGCAGGTTTGTTCTTCCAGCTTTGCCAGCAGGCTGTCTGGGTTAGGCGGAGGATTGCTTGGTACACGCTGACAGGTCACCATGTAATGCTGCAGGCACAGGCCAGGATGAAATGACTCCTTGCAAGTACAACATGCCTAGCATATTTCTTACCTGTCCTATAATTGCTGGTTAGTTAGAACCTGGTCGCTATCGTGGAAAGCTCCAAGGCCTTTCCTTGATAATCTGGAAAGTTTTCAATATCCTGAGCCATTTAAAGCATTATCCTTTTCCAGCCAAGACACTGATGCTTAAAGATTTTTGCTAGCAGTCTATCTTGGCAAAGATTTCCGCTTCCATTCCCCAGCATGCTAGAACTGAGAAACCTATCTATGCATAACTTCTTGTCCTGTCCCCCCAATAACCCTTAGGTAGAAGTGCAGAGGGGAATAGGTTGGACTGAATTTTGGCAGGAATTTTGTATATCAGACCATGAAAATAGAGAGCTGGAAGAAGGCTGTGATTTCCCATGGCAGGGGATTCCCAGCCTACTGTTGTGTATACACCCACAAAAGGCAACATGTTTCTGGAGCTAGTGGTAAGGGAAGAATGCAGTTCAGAAAGCAGGCACCTAATCTTACAGTGGCTGTAGACTTTTAGAATGCTTATGAGGCTGCCAGTGTCTTTGCTCCCTCATGCTGGTCAGCATCAGTCGCTGTGAGAGCTGTGTGAGTGTGGATCCCTCACAGTTCAATTCTGATGTTTAACTGGCCTCTCCAAAAGGCATTCCCATTTGGTCCATAAACAGAGCATCGGCTATCCAAGGAGCTTGGGAACTCAGATGAGCATTCCCTGCACTGTGGATGGCTTACCAGACCCATTTGCTATGTTTGGATGTTTGTGTTTGCTTTGTCGGAGGTCGGGTGGAAATTTTTGCACGAAATCATGTAGTTGCAATAAAACATGGCGAGTGCCACATGTTGCATAATGGGAAAATCCACATTTCCAGATGTCCTTTATTTCCAGGTTTCAGGGCCCTTTATTTCCAAGTAGATGCTGCTTATCTTCCCATGAGCCAGCAGACTGTAGGGAATGATCTGAACTAATTACTGGCCATACTAATGACAGGGAAGTCTGGCCAGGTGCAGTGTCCCCCTCTGTGCATGTTCTGGTTTTAGTAAAATAGTCAAACTGGTTGCAGCGGCCTCCCCTCCACCGTCATATCGCTGTTGTGACAGTTAAAAATATGCAAACTTCTCTGGCTTACTGGATATCAGGTTCAGGGGTGTAAAAATGTGTTGAACAAAGTGCAAATTGGCTGTGATCTGTGAGGAGAGGAATGAATTTAACCTTTGTTCTTATTCTAATATTTCTGATAGTCATTTTATGCTTTTGTTCTTCCTTTTTATTTTTTTATTAAGGAACTACTCTATGCCAGCTGGAATGTAGAGTCCTTGTAGTGCTAGCTCAAGTACAGAAAATCACAATTATTAACGTGTACGTGCGCAGTGTCTCGGAGCTCCGTTCTTGGCTGCGTTCTGCCAGATTCTGTCAAACAGGAGAGAAAGTGTTCTTGCTCATGAAGAACTTAAAAAATGTGTATGAAAGCATGAAGCAGATGGGTAGACAGACAGCTAGGAAGAGCAAGGTATTACTGGTTAGTGTGCCAGCCATTAGTTTTATTTTGTTGTTGCTTTTTATGCCCGGTACTTTTCCTAATGTAGCTGATAAAGCAGTGCAACAGTGACTTTTTTTCCTTTTCTTGCTTTAAAGTTAGTAGCCCCCCATCCCGCAACGATGTCTCTCCTTTGAGGAGTGTCTAATACCAGCCTATGCCTGCAGTATCCAATACGTTTTGAGGGAAAAGTAAACCCATTCCACACTGTTAGATCTTCTTGGAAGTAGCCTCATTCTCAGGCATTGATGACATGCTCAAACTTCACTTTTCAGTAACAATAAGCACATTTTTAAGAGACTTGATATTTATTAAAAATTGAAAAACAATGTATGTGTCAGATACAGGATTTGGAAGAAGTTTTGCCGTTTATCAGTAATGCCAGCACTGTGAATTCACAGAATTCCCTGCTAACATCCCGTGCCATGATGTGTGCAGCTCCTGGTTTCACATTTGATATATTAGGATCTGGTAAAATAAACATAACTACAGATCTGTCCAGGCTTCTTGGTGGTGGAAAGAAGATGCGGGGGATGGAGGCAGACCAACTACAGAGGGAGTAAAATAAATGATAATGATTCAGACCTCTCCAACTGTTGAACTTCAAAGTCTTTAGGAAAGCAGGTATTCTTTGTTCTCTTATAACAATGGTGGAATTGAGGGAAGTCCAGTGTTCCCAGCACAGCTGCTGTGGGAATTACAATAAATGCTGTTGAGTTTTGCAGAAATCGTTCTCCTGGTTAGTACCAGCTCAGAGATGGGGGAGTCTGATTTCTCCTGCATGGCAGTACAGAGCAATAACTGCTCAGCTGCTGCCAAGGCTTCCTTTTAGCTAGTTCTTGTTAGTAGAGAGTTTGTGGTAATAGGGGTAATTAACACACTGGGAGTCATTTCTGTGTCCTGGAAGTGAACAGAAAGCCATCAGAGCAGCCCCAGACATGATTGCTCTGCAGGGTTATTTTCTCTCTCTCTTTCTTTCTTTGCCATTGTGCTTAGTTTTGATTTTTCTGCTTTGTGTTAAGAAAGCTGGAGAGCTGAAATGGTCTGTAAATTGCACTCATGCTGAGCTTGGGCTAGGTAGGCTAGTTAAAGGTCACTCTTGTGGACTACATGTCCTCTGGTGGTGTGGGGAGGGTGTTTAAGAAGGGAGTCACACTGTCACTTGTGGCTTCTTTAACCGTTCTTCTTCCAGTGTAGATTTGAAGAGCTCTGGTTCTGCATTAAGCTTGTTTAAATAGGCTCAGGAGGTGAGAACCTTGAAGAGTGATTTATGGTAAAAACTCTTCCAGCAGCCATGTGGCTTCCCACCCTAATAGCGCTGAAGTGTGAGGCTGTGCTGCCATGGTCCTGTGCTTGTTGTTGAACGGAGCACATTACTCACTTGCTCATACTTCTTCTGACGCTGCTGGTGGCATTTCAGCTGTGCCTTATGAATGCATGTGAGCTCAGCTACCCCAAGCATAAGTACCTAGTTTGGGTATTACAGTTTTTCTGGAGATGAGCTACAGGAGTAGACTTGTCATGAGCAGTCATTCTTGCCCTTCCTGAGAAGTGGGGTGAGAAGTGGGCACAGGGAGAAGAAGGGCAATGGGTTTAACCTGTGTGATTGCAAACCATGTGCCCAGGTACCAGGAAACATATGAATCACAACTGACAGTGTATGCGTGTTCGTGTGTATATCCTAATCCACTACAGGGGACCAAAGACAAAGTAATTCTAGCTTTTTAGTCTGGCTTATTTTTCTTTTTAAAGGACACTAGACCTCCTTTTCTTGCTTTTTTTGCTT